TATGTACCTCTGAGTTTCTCCAGCTGTGTGTGTGTGTGTGTGTGTGTGTGTGTGTGTGTGTGTGTACCTGGAGGAAGGAGCTGCAGCAGCTGTCTCTGTTTCTGGTGGAACTTCCTCCTGGCTTGCTGACGCCTCACACACACCTGAAACACAGATTTAAAACACACATTACACACAGATCACTGTAGTCCATGTGTGTGTTATGTGTGTGTAAGTACAGGTGTTCCTCTCACCTGGAACCTAAGCTCCTCCTCTCCTCGTTGCTCCTCCTCGTGCTCCTGCTGCTGCCTCCTGCGAGACCTGACACACATATTAATATATCTTCTTGTGTGTATTCTTGTGTCTATTCTTGTGTGTGTGTGTTTATTAATATAACTTTACTCTAGGGTTTATTTTGATGATGTTTTCTCCTCCCTACCTTTACCTGTATCTCCGCTGCACTTTGCACACCGCCCTGCTCAGGCTCCTCAGGCGGCGTCTCGTCTGGAACGACCTCCACGCCGCCTGGATCAAACAGGCCGCGCGCACACGCTCAGAACACGCCTGCACACACACAACAACACAACATGTATAATAAAATACAAAAATACAAATAGTGCAAGAAGTCTATATACAAGTCAATAGAATATGAAATTAAATAATAAACATTCAGACTAAATTAAATAAGGTTTATTACAATGATAACTATTTATATAAATGCGATTTCTTATAATATGCAAAATCTGTCTCTACCTGTGGGAGAATCCTTGCGTCTGATTGGATGATTGCGATCAGCTGATCCACCTCCTGGTCGAACCCCCGCCCCCTCCAGTCTTTGTCCAATAGGCTGTCCAGACCTGCGTTGACAGACAGGTTGAATCACTCTTTAATCACTCATCAGTGATTAATCAAAAATATAAACCCATACCTCTGAAGCTGAGGAGGAGGGGCTTCACACGGGCCTCCTGCTGATTGGCCATGAGCATGATGAGTCTGACGGAGGCCCCACCCACTGAGGAGGCAGAGCTGACAGCTAATTGGCCGACGGCTTCGTTGAGCAGCAACAGGGCGGAGTCATCAGAGAGCTCCGACAGGAAGTCCTTGCTGAGAGAGAGTACATTATATTTGTGTGTGTGTGTGTGTGTGTGTGTGTGTGTTTTCACTGACCCTGTGTGGTGAGCTGAGGATGAGATCTGAGCAGCAAGCAGACTGAATCCATCACCTTCCTGAAGAGAGACACACACTGACTCACACACACACACACACACACACACACACACACACACACACACACACACACACACACACACACACACACACACACACACACACACACACACACACACACACACACACACACACACACACACACACACACACACACACACACACACACACACACACTTTGAGTACACGCTTCAACATTACAGTAAAATAAGCATCGTTGTTTTGAGGTTGTCTCACTTGTTCCCGCCTCATCAGCTGAGTAGCCAATAAGAGGAGTCCGTCCATGACTGACGGCAGGAACAGCCTATGAAAAGCCTGCGATTGCTCTCCAGGCTCCGCCCCCACACAGCAGACACTGACAGACAGGTGAGTTAGTGTGGCTGATGGGAACTTCAATTACAGAAAATAAAATACTAATCATTCAGATTATCGTAAGCACACATTATACCTGGTGAGCTGGGCGAGTGTGGCAAGGGCGGCCCAATTCTCCTGTTGCATTCTGGGATATTGAGTCATGAGGGGGACGCAGTGACTCAGTAGTCCGCCCAGATACAGACGAGACCTCACAGCCGTCACCAAAACGCCTCCGTCTGTCTGCAGAGCCTCTGATATATAATAATAATAACAATGATAATAATAATAATTAAAGATGGAACTTTGTTTTAAAAAATGCAGCAGTTTATAGCAGCAACCGGATCAGGATTCACACAAGGTAAAAATAAAGTGATAAAGTAACTGTTGGAACAAGAGGCCGCAGTAAAACGTTGAGAGTTGAATGGATATGTTGTTGTGTTGTTGTGTTGTTGTTCCTCTCACTGTTCAGGCTGTTGTTCAGCAGGCAGACTTTCTGCTCCAGATTCAGGTCTCCATCCTCCAGCTGCCTCTTCACATCCAGCAACTCCTCCTCCATCTCTGCTAGCACCTAGATAGGAACTGAAAACACCACTAACTGTAGTTCACCAGAAAGAAGTATACACATCCTTTAACAGTAACAAAGTATTTGTACTCCACTACTTCCACCTCTGCAGTTCAATCATCCATCTTGAGACCTTCATCTTCATTCTGCAAGGATTTGACCCCAGGCCATGAAACACGACCCTATCCCACCCTGGCTGCCTGTAGCTTTTCTAACTAGCTTTTGACAGGTGCTAGTGTATTATTATTATTATATATAAAAGGTACAGCCTCTGATACACTCAGGTCTTTACACTGGCTTCCTGTCTGTCAGAGAGAGGACTGGTCTCTAAATACTGCTGCAGCTTTGAAAGGCATTGAATGGCTTATTCTGATCTCCTGCTACATTACAAACACGGAGCAGTTCCGTTATTAAGCTCCACATATCTGGAACAAAGTACCAGAAACCTGCTGGTCCTTTTAAATCAAGACTGAAGACTTTTATATCTCACACTATGTAACTTGTATTTTATATATGAGCTTGTTTTATGTTTATTTTATTCTCTTTGACTGTTTTGAAATGCCATTTCATAATGTGTTTCTGCTGCACTATTTCTTAATGTTGTCGAAGTTTGTAGAGCACCCTGTGTTGAAAGGTGACCGTTAGTCCGCTCTCCACACGTCCTCACCTGTTGATATTTGGTCACGTGTTTTCTCTCGGGTCACAGAATATAACGGGTGACAGAACTATTCAACACACCTGTTAGCATTAGCAGCGTGATCACCATAAGCCTTTTTAATCGTTTTCACACACCACATCTAACCGTTAGCTGACAACACCTGAAGTAAAAGGTGACATTACCTGTTAGACACCCTCCACAGAGAGTCGACAGCGTTAGAAAGTGAATTAAGAAGCGTTACAGAGCTCAGATGTTAGCAGTTAGCAGTTAGCAGCAAACCGACGCTCCTCTGTTTCTACGGTAACATGACGTCATCACGTAGAGGCAAACCGACGTTCTTCTGTTTCTACTGTAAGATGACGTCATCACGCTGCCAGGACGCACAGACTTACCTCTCATTCTTAATGCATTAAGATAAAATAAGATAATAACGTACATTTAAAAGTAGGATATTATTAACATAAAGGCGGTTGGCATCGAGACATAACAAATACAAATATACATTCAATTTAAAATAGCTTTATTCTTATTATTACTTTATTTACAGCTAACCAATCAGAGCAGACGAGAAAAGTATGATCAAAATAAAGAGCTTTTTGATCATTAAAGCACGGAGACATGTCACACAGTAAATGCTAATATACTGTACTCCTGACATTTTTTTTTTTACTGAAGCTCATATTTGATTGACTTGATTTACTCAGTTTATTCAATTGTGTTATTAGTCATTATTACAACACATAATCACACTCAGCAACAACCACTGTTTTTATTTATTTATTCATTAGTAGTCACTTCCACCTGCTCATAATTCATATATATTTCAGGATTTCCTTCCTGCTGAAATGCTCCTTTAAACTTCTCGTCACTTCAACACAAACATTCCGCTTCTGCATTCAGGAGGTCGCTCTGTCTAAAGTAGGAAGTTAAAACGTTAAAATAGAAAGTAAAAATATATTAACCCTCTGGGTTCGCGCCGGCGCGTCCAAGTGCGCATAATTTACATAAATTAATCATATATTTTCGATTTTAAGGAGTAGAAATATGATTCAGACATCCGCGGAATCGCTGAAAGTGTAGCTTTCCAGCGGTATCTCCTGTGAGACTGTAACCAGGGCCCTTTCTCATTTCGTCAAATCCCCCTCCTCGGCTCCTTGACTCCTCTGTCCTCCGGTAGTGACCCGGAAATGAATTTCAGCGCGCCATGTTGAAGGACATCTCATTTCTCTAAATGCACTTCGAGGACCGAGGATCGAGCGTCGAGGAGGCTCTCTGGAGGAGCTATAACCGAGGATACACTGATGGGTCCTCCACGGTCCTTCGCGGATGCATTTCCGGGAACGTTGGGTATAAAGTAGGCGTGACACAGCGCTGGAATCATTTCAAAACCATGGCGGGAGCAATGCACAAATGTAAGTGTTGATAATGATACGTTGCATTAGTTATTTAAGAAGTGAAATGCGCGATCCAACTCCGCCCGTCTGTATGCAGTTAGAGCCCTCTAACCGCATTCCTTATTGACATTTCACCTGATACTCTTTATGTTTTTATCCACATTTTAACTACACTCAATCCTGCTACAGCATGCCATGATGTTTAAAAGTGCAAACGTTAATTTTTTTGTAAGAGTGTTAAATCAACCAGAACTTTGTTTAGCATTCAGCACCATCATTTGGTTTGAGCTATGTTGTACACTAGAATCCATCGCTCATTACAGTCTGTAAATCTTCCAACAGTTTTAAGCTACACCTTTTACTTTGTCTTTTCACAGGGACAGAGCAAGACACTCTGACCCTCATCAAAGTGAGGCTCGAGAACGATAACCTTACTGGCCGAAGGCACACTGCCAAGAAAGCCTGGGAGTGAGTGACATTTTCCTGGATTGGGAACATATCCGTATTTTACGGCCATGCATGAGGCCATCGGTGGGAGGCCATCCATCGACCCTCCCACCCTGATGGACTCGGCCACTGCTGCTGTGGCTTCTGGCAGTGGCTCAACATCCACTGAGGCTGTCCAGAGCCAGGCCACAGTGGAGGATGAGGAGGCCACAGAGTCTGGCTCGGACAGCCAGGAGTGTGTTGAGCCATCCACCTCTGCCGGTCCCCCTCCCCGGAAAAAAAAGAAAAAGCGCTTTGCTACAGTTCCTGGAGGCAGAGGCGGACAAGGAGGAGGACCGCTTCAACCGCCAGCAGGCAGCCTCGGAGGAAGCCTCCGCCAAATTCCTCAAGCTCTTCGAGGAACTTGTTAGGAAGGAATAGTGTCTTTTTTTTTCTTCTTTTTTCTG